GTTTTTCACATAAACATTTAATACAAGGCACACCTGTTAGACAGGATTAAGAGGTGTGGGAGTATTGTTTGTTTTTAGATAAAGAGTACAGTGAAAGATGTTTGTCTTCAGACTCTCTCTCTCCCTCTCTAAATTAATGAGCCATGTTAAGAAGCAGGCAAAGAGGGCAATTCATTTTCATGAAAAAGAACTCTAAGAAGAGCTGCCTCAGTGTTATTGCTCCCATCCATCCCTGATATCCATCTGGCACCTTTTTTCTATAGCTACAGAGGTTGGGCTCTAACAAGCGTGCCCTATAGAAAATACATTTTCAAATTAATTTTTAGAATTCAGTTGTATGTGTGAATTGAAGCTTGAGCAATTGAATTCTGTTAACAACATGCTTTTTTTTCAGCAGAGCACATAAGGATTGCCCAGAAACCATGTGGAAAGGTGCCTAGAACTCCACCTGCTGCCTCTATATGAGAATTAAAAAAAATCGAATGCAATGTTTCATATTTACCAGAGAAAAAATATTTTTTTTACGTTCTGATCATAATAAAATAAAATATGATTGTAAGCTCCAAGAAGCAGGGCCCTCCTAACCCTCTTGTATTGAACTGTATTGTTACTGTATTGTCTCCTGTTATATTGTAAAGCACTGAGCAAACTGGTGGCGCTATATAAATTCTGTATAATAATAATAAATGCAAAGTCAGTATACATTCCCTTTAAGGCTACAGATAATTTCGCAGCTGCATAAATAAAAAACAATTATACTATCTTTGCTCCAGATACAATATTTTTTTTATAATTTAACATTAAAGCATACCTTTAGTGAATGTAAAGTGCCTGAGCAGACTTTTGAGTGAAATAGCAGTCTCGACGTAGGCTCAGTTTTGTTTCAGTGGGCCTGAGATCCCCGAAATCCAGATGTCTTTTATTGAAAAAAGTGATGTAGCGCTAACACCAAAAAAAAAAAATAACTACATAAAATACAAATGCACATAAAATAAAATATATCAAAACTGCATATAATGTGACATAAAACAAAGCGACAATATTATATAGTGACTAATACTATAAAATACAGCATGTGGGCTGTAAATCCTAAACATACACCTTGATCTCTCAAGGAGCAGGAATAATTGAAAAGAATGATGTGATCAAGAAACAGGTAAGTGAACTCCAATAATCACACTACTAAATATGTGAAATGATCCAAATGGGATCTATAAATGATATTAGAGTGCAACAAATAGTCCAAATGCGACTATTGCATAATAGTGCCTATTATGCAATAGTCGCATTTGGACTATTTTTTGCACACTAATATCATTTATAGATCCCATTGGGATCATTTCACATATTTAGTAGTGTGATTATTGGAGTTCACTTACCTGTTTCTTGATCACATCATTCTTTTCACTTATTCCTGATCCTTGAGAGATTAAGGTGTATGTTTAGGATTTACAACCCACAGGCTGTACTTTATAGTATTAGTCACATTATATTTTTGTCACTTTGTTTTATGTCACATTATATGCAGTTGTGATTTATTTTATGTGCATTTGTATTTTATGTAGTTTTTTTTTTTTTTTTGGTGTTAGCGCTACATCACTTTTTTCAATATTTGTCTATTAGATCAATGGGTATATGACTGGATGTTGGCAGCTGCATTCATTATAGGGATTTTAGTGTTTAGGTAGGAGCGCAGGAGGTTCTTACATATATCACCTGTCTTTTATGCACCTACAAACCAAGGTCTCCGTTTATGAACCAGCGGTAATAGATCGCTGCTCAGTTCTCCGTCATTCTCGGAGAACACAGTTCTCCTGTGAATGCAGTTTATGAAGCAGTTCTCCGAACGAAGGGAGAACGGTCTCCAAACACTGGAGAACGGTCTACAAACTCTGGAAAATGGCTAATTTTACTATAATCTCATGAGATTACAGTAAAAGATCACTTTACTAAGCAGAGGTAAATTATCTCTGCTTAGTTTGCGGTCCCTCCGATTCTCAAGCTCTGGGCTGGAGAATCTGGAGGGAGAACACAGATCTCCAGTGAAGGGCTGACATGATCTCCTGAGTGTCATAAACTGTGAATGACCAGAGAATAGCTGAGATCCGTTGAATCGCAGCTATTCTCTGTGTCATAAACAGACACCCAAGTCTGGTAAAGTCAAACTGTGGTCTACCCCTTCCTAGCTTGTAGAATCCACTAATGACTATTAAGGGTACGCAGCACAGCTTTCTGATTTTTCAGGGCTACCAAGAGATCTGAAACAAAGCTGACCTAACACATGCGTGTTTAGTTACCAGCAAGTTCAAATGTTAATGTTGGCACTTTACATCAATTACAGATATGCATTACTATTAAGCGAGTGACAAAATGAATAAATAAATCTGCTACATTAGCATTTTTAGTTTAATCCAATTTATAGAGGTTTACTATAAAATGTATAATCTGATTTTCTCTGTTCTGTAAAGCCTGGTGACCCCTTGAGTGCAGACTAGATGGTTATGACTAGAAATGGGCCTTGTTTGTGCAGCAGTAAACTAAGGGCTAAGTTCCTTGGCATACCTGTCCAGGTTAGCACCACTCACTTGAGTCTTACACCAGTGGTTCAGAGAGTTGCAGACAGAGGTGGAATTAAGGTGTGTTCAGAATTCACAAGATGAGGCTTTAAGGGGTAAAACTGTTCTTTGAGCAGCAGCCCTGTGCAGGCTGTTCAATAGCAGTATTACTCTTTTGTTCTCATCATTCCTAGGAGATCAAGAGAGTAAAAAAAAAAAAATAGCTACAGAGTGGAATCTGGTCTAAGACACATTGGCAAAGCTGAAGGAATCAAGCTAGAGTGTTATAGTGTAGTGCAGCAATGTAAAGAACTTGCAATCAATGATGTTTGCTCCTAAAGGTCTTGGTTGCCAGCCTAACTAAAGAACTCCAAAAGGTCTTCATGTTCTCCGTGGTTGTCAATGTCACTACCTTGCCTGAATTACTCTAAGAGTACCTTTTTAAAGACCATAACTATCCTGAGTATTGAGTGTGCCAAATGTTCATAGTGCATGCCTAATCATGTAAGAGGCTTAAAGGAAATGTTTCCGGAGAGAAACATGAAGCCTGCCATTGCTGGTTTCATATTCTGTAGACACTATGGGGGAGATTTACAAAAACTGGTGCATTCAGAATCTGGTGCACTTGTTCATGGTGGCCAATCAGCTTCTAACCTCAGCTTGTGCAATTACGCTTTGGAAATAAAACCTAGAAGCTGAATTGTTTCTTTGCAGAACTGCAATTGAGTTTGCACATTCCAGCTTTAGTAAATAAACCCCTACATGTCTGGCTGGCATGATGATCCTCTTGGTTCCATAATTTAAGTCACTGACCTGGGACACGTAAGCAGATAAGAGCTTTTGACTTTTCTGATTTGCTTCGGGGGTCCGTGACTCAAGAAGTATTAAAATAACAACTCGGCAATTAGCATTTTCAGAAGCAGGTTGGCAATGGCAGCTCCTTTATTTCTTTTAGAAAATACTTGCTTTAATTGTAGATTTCCAGGGAAATTGCTATTGTGAATCCCAAAGTAAGCTCTCAAAAATATTACAACACTGAGTAGGGGAGCATGGCATCCTTCATTGAAAATGGGCAACATTTAGGAAGCCCACTGCTTAATAGAAGTATTTTCAAAATCTAAAAGAGATCTGATTTTTGGAAGTTCTACAGTCAGACTCAGAGAAAACAAATCATTTAATAAGCTCAGCCAACTGCCCTTTACATAAACAAGTAGCCTTAGGTACTTAAACAATAGAAATGTTCATATATTCTAATAAACTTTTTTCTTTTATGAATAAACGCATTTTGTGCATACAGAGAGTCTGGAAAGAAATCTTCAAGCCAACAAATGGACTCCATTAAGCTAACGCTCTAAGAAATGTGAAACCTGAAAATGTCATCAATTACATGGTTATAGCCTTTCATGTGACCTGGAAAACCAAAACTGTTCAAATACACTTATGGTGTGATTTCCTAAAGGGAAGGGAAATAAAAATCCAGTCCTATGCAGGGAAATTGAAAAACAGATGCTTCTGCACAGGAGAGGATGTACATCACTTCACTTTAGAAACTCCTCGGTTAAAGATTTTTATGAAGACGAAAAAGAAGATGCACAAGCCATTGTAACAGAAAAAGGTGCAATATATTTCATAATATTTTTTTTCTTTTGCAGTGTATACCATTCAAACATTTTGATTTCACTACACCAAGAGTACCTTAGTGCATAGTTCCCATTTTTAGGGTTAGGCAACTTATGGCTGACCTCTAGTTCCAACTATGGTCTGTACTCTAGTGGCACAGGTTGTCTATCCCTAAATGTATTCGAACATAGCAACAACTTCTAAAAAAATGGCAAATACATTCTTTATTGGCATGGTAATGCTCCAGCCTAAACCATTCTGAGTTACCGCAGTGCCTATGCATGCAATGAAAGTATTTCTGATATAGGACAAAGGAAGTAGATGAATTTTAGGACAATTACGTGGTTTGTGTGTGAGATTATATATAAACACTTACACAGGTTTATATATAACAATTGGTGTATATAATATATATTGGCTTCTTTAAGTTAATATTTCAAGGGCTTATAAAACTTTATAAAACTGACCCTTTAACTTTGTTTAGTATTTAGATTGCCTCTAAACACACACAAAAAAAAAATACAGATATAATTGACAGATCCAAACCAAGGCTGAAACGCTAAAAGCTGATATTTCTTTTTTTTTTTGTTTTGGACAGGGAAATAGAGAAGGAGCAAAAACAAACGTAAACATAAATAAAAAAAAAATTAAATGCTTTCATCAAAGTTTATGAATTTGCAATTTTTTGTCGGCGTTGTGTTTGGCCCTTCTGGGGCCACCTGGCTGTGCCGGTCTTGTGAGGAGAAGTCTGGAGCCGAGCACTGGCAAGACATAGTCCCTCCCTACACACCAGAACCCATTCTTTTGTCACCGATGTAACCATAGTTAGATTAGCCATTCCTTTTTGCTCTCGTCGATGGTCTCAGTGAAGTTGGGGTCATTGTTGATGATGGCAGCATCAGCATTGTCTGCAGATTCGGCTCCCTTAGCTTCATTGGTATGATAGGTCCCCTTGTGGCGGAACATGTAGCGTATCAGGAACACCAGGGTGCACAGTATGGTGAAGATCACCACGGCAATGATACCTGTAGGGAAATGAACCCAACATTATTTTAAAAAGATCCAAAAATGCATGTGTATAAATAAATAAATCATCATACTCTTGTCCTATTCAACCACAAATCTTTTTTTTTTTTTTAATAAACTGATGTCAATGAAAACACCTTTGAAATACTTTGAAAGCACAGTACTTACTTTTCAGGTGCAAAATTTAGTTGAAGAAGAAAGTACGAAGCTTCAATCTCATCATGTTTTCTAAAGCATCCTAAATAAAGTCTGTCACTCTGTGGAATAGACTCCCTTAAGAAATAGTTCTGGCCAGCCAGTAGATTGTTTTAAATGCACAAAGTACAACTGGATATTAAAATTTATAGGCAAGAACACCAGAGATGATTAATTCAGGGAATATCTGTTTGCCTCCTGGGAGACGGTGCCTTCCTTAGGTATGGGTTTCTGTATATAGAAGTTTTCTAGTTATTTATTCTCTTTATTAATTTTTTCTGTTGGTTGAACTAGATGAACTTGTGTCTTTTTTGCCTAACTATGTAATGTAACTCTATAACTAAGGGAAGAGCGCAAACTGCTGCAGAAATGAACTGCATATTTTGGATTTTCCAGAGCACAATCAAAGTGTAGCCTGTTTTGTAGCTTTAATGGGGTTAAAACTGCACAAAGGAGACACTTTAATAATTCAGTAGTGATTGAAGCAACAATTAACGCTGAAACTCCAAAAATTCAGCAACTTTGTAAAAAGTGAAGACACTCTATGAGTTTAGTCCAACAAGGTGCCTGTCACCTTCCTGGGCTTATCTCTATTATTTAAATCTAACAGTTTTTTTGTGCTTCCAGAGCTCCAATGCTGGACTCAGCTGGTCTCAGCCATTTCAATGTAGTGTTGGTGCAGCTACTAAGGCTGCGCCTCCTCTCCTCATGCCCAATCACAGAAGCCTTTGTATTGTGTGAACTCATGCACAGAATACAATGGTTTCTGTGAATGGGCAGCAGAGGGGAGGGGTGAGCATAGCTGCTCTTTGCGCTTCTCTCCTCTCTCACAGATTGGAGTGTACTCTGGCAAAGCCATAAACCTGTTGCGTACAAATATTAGAGATAAGCCCAAGATGTGACAGGCAGCTATTAGGATGTAACTCAGTGTGTGCCTGAACTTTTTCTTACAAGTTTTCTGATTCCTGGAATTCAGCTTTAAAAACAATTAACACCAAAACACAAAGAAAAATTTGCAAGAACCTCAAAATTACATTATATGTCTTCTCAAAAGCTGTTGTGGACCACTTTCTTGTAAATTTCCACAGAATCATAACATATATATATGGCAGCCTTCAACATCTGTTGTTATTATAGTTATGAATCAGCCAGTGTTTGCTTTGTACGTAGTCGTAGACTTTGCATCTTGTTCCATCAAGGACGTTGTCGTATTCTCCTTGAGCATTCAACATGCGTGACTCAATCACAAAACTCCTATTTTATAAACATGTTATGTTGTTATATAAAGCCATATGTATTTAGCCATTTTACCCTGGATGTAGGGCTCATTCACACCATGGTGCAGAGGCGTCTGTTTTTCTGCATGCGTTCTGCAAGGGCACAACAAAATCAATTGTCTTCTATGTGCCCTTTTCACACCACAACACTAGTATCACATGCAGATTTTTTCTGCACAGGAATCTGCAATCTGTATAAAACGCATTGATACGCGTATGAAAACTGATGTAAACTGATGTCTCTGCAAGTGAAATCTGCGCGTCAGTTTCCAACAGTTTTTCTGCACATGTGATGTGATTGAGGCCGTAAATTTGAATTCTTTCATACTTATTTAGCAATTGTACAGCTTCCAACCGTCACTTGTTTGGAAAGGCTGTTCCTCTTTGGAGCCAAAATTATTCTGTCCCTTTTTCCACCTCAGCTGTCCCACTTTTTGATATGAGCTCTGCAAATAAAATGCACTATTTAACTACGAAAACTGTTAACCTATATTAAACCTTTCATCTGACTTCTAAATGGTTGCACGTAAATTAAAATGAAAAAAGCACTTGCGTTTATTAACAGTCTTTTTTGGCGTATTATTTGTGTTCCATAACCTGGGGCTTGGCAGGGGTGTATTCTTTGCCTACATACATCATCTCACAAAGTTAGGAGGCATACAAATGTACAGTGGGAGTGATTTACTAAAGACATGTAGACTGTTCACTCAGCAAGGAAAGTTACATTTTGCAAAGAACTCTTCCCCAGAGAGTATCCAATCATGTGCAAGGAAAATTTAAAATAACAGCATTTTTGCCTGCATGTGATTGGATGATGGAAGTCAGCAGAGCTTCACCTCATTCACTAAACTCTGGGGATAGTTCCCTTGCAAAGTACAAACTTCCCTTGCAAAGTGAAATGTCTAATTGCCTTTAGTACATCACACTTAATGCTGAACTCCAGGAATTCAGTTACTTTGTAAAAAGTGCAGGCATATAATGAGTTAAATCCAACAAGGTGCATGCCACCGATATAATATAATATAATTTACAGTACATCTGACAAGTTTATGGAGCTCATGGAAAATACCTTCCAGAGCTCCAACCTGGACCTTCTTGACCTGGACCTTCTTGACCTGGACCTTCTTGTTTCTGCTCCTTTTTAGTGCAGAATCGATGCAGCTGCTATAACCGCCCAATCACAGAAGCCTTTTTATTATGTGATCTCATTCGCAAAATACAAAGGCTTCTGTAAATAGGCAGCAGAGGGGAGGGGCAAGTATAGAAGATGTTTGTGCTTCTCTGCTCTCAGAGACCTGAGTGTCTCCTCCGGGAGTGACATAAACATGTCAGCTGTAAATAATAGAGATAAGTCTAGGAGGTGGCATGCACCTAGTTGGACATAACTCATAGTATGCTTTCACATTTATCAAAGTAGCTGAATTCTTTGAATTCAACTTTAATTAACTGTAATGCTGTGACAGACCCTTTTTCAATGACTGTTCTACTTAGGGCCCCAACCAAGTTCATCAGTGTAACACCATAACATAGTATAACTCCAGTACCATGCCAGTAGTATTGCAGATTCCCTTCAGTCACAGGGGAATATAATTGCTCTAAAAAGCAATGCAATGTATCCATAAACCACCTGCATCAGTTAAAGTGTGAGCAAGTTGTATACTGTATATCAGCCGTATCTCAACTCTGTATCTCTATTGTGATAGGTATTTGTTCATTGTTCATCTTACAGCACCAATGTCACGCCAGGGTCAGTCATCATATTCATCCATTATTTTAATGTTAGCCACCGTTGTCTCAACTTAAACTCAACAATAAATTCAAAAATCCTTGTGCAGATGCCCAGCTCTATTTACCGAAACTTCTCATTGCTCTAGAATTGCTTGGACTGTATGCATTGTGATTTAGTGAGCCAGCTAGTGTTAAGGTTAAACCTCTTTATTGTATGGCATTTGTTAAACCAGCAGATGCACAGCCCATTGTAAAAATGAAGAATGATTATCATTGTGGATAAAGCAGATATTCTTCCCCAGGCAGTGATCAGGGCTTAGAGGGCAAGTAGAATATATATTTGCTGTTCAGCCAATGGGGATATTTGATTCTGATAAACATTTTTTTTGCCTGGCACAAAAACACTTCAGATTTCTGTTATCTGCTGGTATAAGATATATATGTCGTAACTGAATGACATTTTGTTCTGCTAAAGCAATGTGTAATAGGACATTTGCTATATTTTTTATGTTTTCAACCTTTTTTTTTTTTTTTTTCACACATCTCATTACTACTGATCTATCCTCCAGCCTCTTTCCAGTGTACATTTATGCACTCCCACAGCAATAGCTGCATGTCATTGCACAGGGTATGACTTGGCAATGACCATTGGAATAGTCTCCACCAGAAATGCATTTAACAGGGTGACAACCTAGAAGCAGTGATAAGCAGTGGAGGCATTCCCCACCCCACAGCTGCACATATACACAACCCTTCCATGTGGGGCAGAGAATGCCTTCGCTGCCTTTGATTGGCTGTTGGCTTTGACATCTTTTCTAGTGGGATAGCTCAGGCAGGTTCGGACTTGTGCCTGAACATGTCTGAGCTCACACTTACCCAGGAGAGCAAATGGATGACAGCAACAAAATGTTGACATCCTTTAACCACTTAAGAGCCGCATCATATCAGATATACTGCTACAGGGTGGCTCCACTGCACATGTATATATATAATTCCGGGTAGGGGGCGCGTGCACGCTGCCCTACCCACGACGCTATTGGCTGCTGTATATGTCAATCACCAGGTCCCGGACAGCGATTCCCGGCTGGGCCTCAGTGATGGTCAGCAGGGCTGAGAGGGGAGACATTTGTGTGTAAACAACACAGATCTCTCTCTTGTCAGCATGGACATGCTGCTTTGTATGTTCTGCACAGCAGTTAGTCAGTTCCCACCCAGTGTCAGTTAGTGTCAGAATGCCCACTGCAGTCCCGCTATAAGTCGCTGATCGCCGCCACTACTAGTATAAAAAAAAATTAAAAATTCCAGTATATATACTGCCATTTGTAGACGCTATAACTTTCATGTAAACAAATTAATATACACTTATTAGGATTTTGTTATTAACAAAGACATGTAGCAGAAAATATTTTGGCCTAAATTTATGACTAAATTTGATTTTTTTAAATTTTGTTTTGGACATGTTTAATAGCAATAAGTCAAAACTTTACTAAACATAAAATAAAGTGCAGCGCTAAACATATATAGATAATGACATGTATTCAATCAGTTCGATCAATAAAAAGTCCTCCTCAATTAGGTGACAGAGATTAGTGCTCAAGTATGCAGTGACTTAGGTATTCAGGTGACTTGGTTCAGGTATCCGTGCACGAAAGTGATAAAGCAATGCACACTCACCAGACCCGCATAAAATATGCGCCTTTGTGTATAAATGATCCAGATGTCATCCGATACTGGGTGGTCCTCCCTCAGCTGTGTATGAGGCTGATGATCCTCTCCACTTAGGGGTCCCCCTGGTGTTGGACGTTAAAGGATCTGGTCTGGGTCCCTCCGGTGTATCCAGGAGCAGGTCTGCAAATTAGAGTGCTCCCCCTCCTTGCTGTTCCTTCACATGTGTGTTTTCTCTGTGCTCACCTACACACACACATGTGAAGGAACAGCAAGGAGGGGGAGCACTCTAATTTGCAGACCTGCTCCTGGATACACCGAGGGACCCAGACCAGATCCTTTAACGTCCAACACCAGGGGGACCCCTAAGTGGAGAGGATCATCAGCCTCATACACAGCTGAGGGAGGACCACCCAGTATCGGATGACATCTGGATCATTTATACACAAAGGCGCATATTTTATGCGGGTCTGGTGAGTGCGCATTGCTTTATCACTTTCGTGCACGGATACCTGAACCAAGTCACCTGAATACCTAAGTCACCTGCATACTTGAGCACCTAATCTCTGTCACCTAATTGAGGAGGACTTTTTATTGATCGAACTGATTGAATACATGTCATTATCTATATATGTTTAGCGCTGCACTTTATTTTATGTTTAGTAAGGTCTTCTAGGGGTTATTGGTACCTCATTCGTGCATAGCAGCTTTACAATTGTTTAGTAACTAAGGCGCTTCTCTCCAGTCACTTCAATAAGTCAAAACTGTTGTTTTTTTTTCAAAATTGTCAGTCTTTTTTTGTGTATATCGCAAACAATAAAAAACACAGATGATCAAATACCACCAAAAGAAAGTCATATTTCTGGGAAAAAAGGGACATAAATTTAATTTGGGTGCAGCATTGCATGACCACGCAATTATCAGTTAAAGTATCACAGTGCCGTATTGCAAAAATTGGCCCTAGTCAGGAAGGGGGGTAAATCTTCTGGAGGGCAAGTGGTTAAGCAGAAGTGTCTGAGCAAAGACCTTCATGGCAGGATCACCAGGTATTATTTTAATGAGAGCTGTTGAATTAAAAAGATTGAAAATACTTTTGAAATCACTTTACTTTTACAATTAGCATTACATTGATTAAAAATGATATGGGATTGTAGTGATTGGGTTTGCATTTATGTTCAGCCCCATTGAGACTACATTATCATGTGTTATGGTTTACCAATCTAAAATGCCAAATAAATCTGTTACTGGAACAGATGAATGTAAATACTAACTGCCCATGCGGCAGAAAGCTGCTTTTTTTTTATATAGAATTGCCTTTGGAATTCTGTTGGGAAACCAAAACTTATGGGAGTGTTGATCCTCTTTGTCCCCTATAGCGCTCGCTGGTTCCATATGCCGACCTCCATGTCACTATAGGACACACTGCAAAGTGGTATGCTACATAGTGAGTTCAGAATCAGAAATACGGTTCTGGGGCTTATTCCTTTATAAAAACTAATCAGCAAAAACAGCTACCATATTTCTGTCCTGACAGGTTCACTTTACATTTCTTACATAAGGTCATATCATAATGTACTGAGGGGCCATGCTGGTACAGGCTGAGAGTGAAATCTGGCACACTGTGGAAATATTGTAGATCTTTGTTGATTAAGAAATAATAGTGTGATGTACTTAACAAGCTAATATAAAACTTGAATTGTGAGTGGTGCTAACATTACCTATTAAATAATTAAATTAAAGCACTTGGGTGTCCGTTAGTTTATGAACCAGCAGTAATAGATCGCTGCTCAGTTCTCCGGCATTCTCGGAGAACACAGTTCTCCCTGTGAATGCCGTTTATGAAGCATATGTAGATCAGTTCTCCAAACGAAGGGAGAACGGTCTACAAACGCTGCAAAACGGCTGATTTTACTATAATCTCGCGAGATTACAGTAAAAGATCAGTTTACTAAGCAGAGGTAAATTATCTCTGCTTAGTTTTCGGTCCCCTCCACGTCCGATTCTCCAGCTCTGGGCTGGGGAATCTGGAGGGAGAACACAGATCTCCAGAGAAGGGCTGAACATATTCTCCTGGGTGTCATAAACTGTGAATGACCAGAGAATAGCTGTGATCCTCTGAATCTCAGCTATTCTGTGTGTCATAAACGGACACCTTGGTGTGTTCTGTTGCTTCTTATTTTTACAAGTTATTTCCCTATGAGACAGAAGCTGCAAGATGAGACAGAATCGGGTTAATTTACTAAAACTGGAGAGTGCAAAATCTGGTGCACCTCTGCATAGAAACCAATCAGCTTCCATGTTTTATTGTCAAAGCTTAATTGAACAAGCTGAAGTTAGGAGCTCATTGGCTACCATGAACAGTTGCACCAGATTTTGCACTCTCCAGTTTTAGTAAATCTACTCCATTGTGTCTCTGGAATTTGGTCTTTATTTAAAAAGATTATGGCATGTGCCTAAAGATCACGTATCCTTTTTGTTGCACTATTGGGAACTGCTTTTCATCATATTTTCATCTCCCAGCTTATTGCTGGACTCCAGGCAGCTATAAAAGATTGCCAAAATTCCATATTAAGCCCTCATGCACACTTGATGTTTTTACAGCGGGTGTTTTTGGCGTTTGACATTTTTTTCTACAGCTAGTAAACTCCCCCGCATGTTATTCTATGTGTCCGTGCACACATAGACTGTAATCAACGTTTATTGGCTAGGATGTTTTTTGGCTGGAAAAAACCCCCAAACTAGTGGGTTTCTAGAGGAGATTTTCAGCTGTAAAAATGCTCTAACACTGAAAACACTGCAAAATGCAGTAAAAAACGCTGGCAAACTGGTGTTTTTGGACTTTTTTTGGGCAAAAAAAAAACCTTTTTGTTGGTAAAAAAAGGCTAAAAAACGCAAAAATGCCGAAAAATGCGGGAAAACGTCACTAATCGTGGCACCATGTCGCTAAAAGCTAGTGCAAAAATGCTAAAAAAAAAGCTGAAAAACTCATGTTTTTATCATGACTTTACACAGCTAATGTGACTAGCGTTATCAAAACATCAAAAATGTGCATGAGGGCTGATTGTTAAAAATAATGAATATATTTGAAACACAAGCAGCATAGGTGCCTGAATTTGACTTGGTATCTTCTTTATTAAAGTGGTTGTAAAGGATCAAGGTTTTTTACCTTCATGCATTATATGCATGAAGATAAAAACCTTCTGTGTGCAGCATCCTCCCCAGCCCTCCCCAATACTGACCTGAGCTTCATCAAGATCCAGTGATGTGCATGAGAGTCTCCTTATTAGCTGAAACAGACTATTAGCTGGGAGCGAGCTTGCTCGGGTGTCCCCAGAGCAAGCTGCTTGCTATCGGGGCACTCAGCAGGAGGGAGGGGCAGGAGCTCCGGCAGGGGACCTGAGAAGAGGAGGATCGGGGCTGCTCTGTGCAAAATCACTGCACAGAGCAGGTAAGTATAATATGTTGTTTTTTTTTTTTAATCTGCCTTTAATATCACTTTAGGTCAGGGGCGGAATGACCATTTGGAAACTTGGGCACTGCCTGAGGGCCCGGGGTCAGTAGGGGGCCCCATGAGATGCCCCTGGTACCTTTTTCATAGGCTTTTTTGAGTTTGGGCAAGGACACAGGGGCCCCATGATCCCCTATTGCCCGGGGGGGCCCCATGAGTTGTCAGTCCGCCCCTGCTTTAGGTCCTCTATGTAGTACCACTCCAGGAGAAGGAGAAGCAGCACAAAGTGTGCTGCTGTGATGATGTGTTAAAAAGAACATACTGATAGGAGGGGGAGAGCAGAGTGATTGAGGGATGAGCTCATCATTCTGTTGCTTCTCTGTCCAGTCACAACCTGAGGCATAGTCTAGACCTATTTATTACTTATTTGCAGTAGAGAAAACCCAGGTCTACCACCCTGTCAGAAAGAGTTGGTCTTTGTGATGGGCTTAGTCAGTATCCCAGAACGGGAAATACAAAAACACAAATCTTTTGGCAAGTAAAACATTTCCCTTACATGTATTCATCTCTGTATTTAACTGTTTGCCTTGAGTTTACCTTTAAAGAAAAAGGATGCCATCTTTCATGGGTCTCATCAATAATGGGTAATTTACCCCAAATGATATTATTATACTTTAAATGTTTATAACAATATCACTACTCCCCAAGTAAAGTTGTAAAGATATACTGAGACTAAAGTGTTGGCATCCCTGTATAAATAAAGGAACAGTCGTTAGCATTTCCTTCATTTACCTCCAATGATTGCAGAGTTTCTGTTCACGCCATCCTTAATATAGCTTGTCCTTCATTGTTCGGGAAGTTGGCAGTCTCTGTTATGAATAAAAAAGTGAAAATGAAGATATAATAAACATTCAAAAGCAGACTAGTATCTGAATATTACAGATTGGTGATTGATATTTCTTAGGAGGTCAATGGCTCAAATGATACACTAAGGCAGTGGTCTCCACACTGTGGCTCTGGGGCCAGATGCAGCCTTTTGCTTGCCTATATCCAGCCCTCAAGACACTTTTCCTCCAACTGATGCCAATGATGGGGTACCATTTCTCTTACACCATCCATGGGGCATTATTCCGCCCACTCTTACCAACAATGAGGCACTATATCTCCTACTAAAACCAATAATGGAACATTTTTTATTCCCACTGACACCAGGGAATTTTATACTCCCACTGGCCACAGTCCGGCCCCCCTAAAGCCTGAAGGACAGTAAACTGGCTCTTTATTTATAAAGTTTGAAGACCTCTGCACTCGCGTTAATCAGGCTTGTTTGTTCTATCTTGTCAGAACTAGAGCCCAATAGCTGCAGTTGGTAATGCCATGAACACCATGCTCTAAGATGGATCTCAGAACTAGTGGGCATGAGCCCTAATACACATATTACCTGTCTTTGTTATGCTTTTGTAAACCCACTTGATACCTTCTTAGTCTGGCTTTCAAAACCTACAACACGTTGGTTATATAGAGACCATAGGAGTGTATGAAGGTTTAAAATTAAAGACAAGAACTGCTATGATTTTCAATGCCAAGTAACATTCTCGGCTCACTGCATGTAGCTTATTCATGTTAGCCAGGCAGTGGTTTTTGGTACATTGAGGTGGAGTTATACTAAGATATATACTTCATTGTTGATGATGTTGCAAATGAGGTAGATGTTGATTTTTTTAATAGAAAAATGCATAGAAATAATAGAAAAGGTGTATTCTGAGCAGGGCCCTCTATTTCCTCTTGTACCAAATTGTATTGTAAATGTCTACCTTCATTTTGTAAAGCACTGAGCAAACTGTTGGCACTATATAAATCCTGTGTAATATTAATAATAATATTCTTCAAATTCTTTTACAAAATACCTTCTATATCTCCAGCACTCATACAGAAATGACTAATTAATTTGGTGACACTGGTATATTTAGAGAGGGTGCAACTACAATAGAATGTAGCTCCCTCATTGCAGGCTATTATTATTATTATTATACAGTATTTATAAAGCGCCAATAGTTCGCTCAGCGCTGTACATTACAGAGGGGGACAGAACATGTGACAGAACAATACCACAACAATACAAAACATGAGGGGATTGAGGGCCCTGCTCTTTCGAGCTTACAATCTAGGAGGGAGGGGATGGTGGCACAGGGGGAGATAGCTGTGGGGGATGGAGTGGTAGGAAGAGTGGAGGAGGTCGGCAAGTTAGCAGGGGGTGGTGTAGGCTTCCCTGAAGAGATGGGTTTTCAGGGTGCGCCTAAAGGAGAGGAGAGTAGGTGATAATCTGATGGGTTGGGGGCAGGGAGTTCCAGAGGATGGGTGACACCCTGGAGAAGTCCTGGAGGCGGGCATGGGAGGAGGAGACCAGGGAACTAGAGAGAAGGAGGTCTTGTGAGGAGCGGAGTGTGCGTGCTGGGCGGTACTTGGATATTAGGTCAGTGATGTAGTTCGGGGCAGTATGGTGGACAGCTTTGTACGTCAGCGTTAGGATTATGAATTTGATCCGTTGCGCAATCGGAAGCCAGTGGAGGGATTGGCAGAGGGGGGTGGCGGAAACGGAGCAGTTGGAAAGGTGAATGAGTCTGGCAGCCGTATTCAGGATGGACTGAAGCGGGGATAGCCAGCGGCGAGGCAGGCCAGTGAGGAGGGAGTTGCAGTAGTCGAGTCGTGATATGATGAGGGAGTGGATGAGCTGTTTAGTAGTTTCTGGAGTTAGGAACGTGCGTATTTTGGCGATGTTGCGGAGGTGGAGTCTGCACGAGTTTGTTAAAGAGTGGACTTGGGGCTGGAAGGATAGGTGTTGGAGTCCAAAATGACACCAAGTACTCTGGCCTGCGGGGCGGGTTTGATGGTAGCATTGTTCGATGTGATAGAGAAGTCAATGGGGGGTGGTGTCCGGGCTGGGGGGAAGACAAGAAACTCTGTTTTGGAGAGGTTCAGTTTAAGGAGGTGGAGCGACATCCAGTCTGATATGTCGCTCAACAGGTGTGTGATTCGGGCGGAGACCGAGGGGGTGAGGTGAGGGGTTGAGAGATAGATTTGTGTGTCGTCGGCATAGAGGTGGTAGTTGAAGCCGTGAGAGTGTATGAGTTGGCCAAGGGAGGAGGTGTAGATGGAGAAGAGAAGGGGCCCGAGGACAGAGCCTTGAGGGACCCCAACAGAGAGGGGGAGTGAGGGGGAGGTGGTAGCATTATAGGTAACGCTGAAAGAGCGTTGTGACAGGTAGGATTAGAGCCAGGAGAGAGCAGAATCTCTGAGGCCGAGGGAGTGTAGTCTTTTGAGAAGGAGGGGGTGGTCAACTGTGTCAAAGGCCGCAGAGAGGTCAAGGAGTAGGAGCACTGAATAGTGGCCATTAGCTTTGGCGGTTAGCAGGTCGTTGGAGAGTTTGAGTAAGGCAGTTTCGGTGGAGTGTAGGGGACGGAAGCCGGACTGTAGGGGATCGAGGAGGTTGTTGTCATTGAGGTGAGAGCATAGGCGGGCGTAGACTAGGCGCTCGAGGAGTTTAGATGTAAATGGGAGCAGGGAGATGGGTCTGAGGTTGTTCGGGTCATTGGGGTCCAGGGAGGGCTTTTTAAGTATGGGGGTGATGTGTACATGTTTCAGAGGGGAAGGGAAAGTGCCAGAGGAGAGGGAGAGATTGAAGATGTGGGTGAGGGAGCGTAGGATGGAGGGGGAGGGAGGTCGTAGGAGTTGTGAGGGGATAGGGTCGAGGGGGCAGGTGGTGAGGCGGGCATCAGAGAGGATCTTGGAGACTTCCTCGATGGTAGTAAGGTCAAAGGTGCGGAGTGTTGGGGGAGCTTCAGTATGAGGAATGTAGGGTGGGGTGGGAGAGGAGGTCAGAGCAGTGGTGGGGCCGTGGGAGAGGGGTGAAGAGGGGGTAGCTGAGTGAGGGGGAAGGGGGTTGGAGGGAGTTTGAGCAGCGGCAAAGTCCCTGCGGGTTATGTCGAGGGGGAGGGGGGATGAGGGGGTAGCTGTGTGAGAGGGGACGGGTTGAGAAGGCGTGTGAGTTGCGGCAATGTCCTTGCGAATTGTGTCAATCTTGTTTTTGAAGTGATTGGCAATCTCAAGGGCAGTGAGTGAGGTGCTGGGTGGAGGTGGGGGGTGGCGAGAGTAGAGAGTTGAAGGTGGAGAAGAGTCGGTGAGGATTGGAGGAGAGGGCCTTGATGAGGGTCAGGAAGTAGGCTTGTTTGGCAGTATGGAGGGAGGAGGTGTAGGTGTGGAAGGCAGATTTGTAGCGGGTGAAGGCTTGTTGGGATTTGGTGGCTATCCCCTCTTCAGTCTATCATGAATGCTGCTGCCAGACTCATCCACGTTACTAACCGTTCTGTATCTGCCATCCCTCTCTGCCAATCCCTCCACTGGATTCCCATTGCCCAATGGATAAAATTCAAAACATTAACAACAACATATGTATAAAGCTATTTATAACTCTGCCCCAAATTACATCACCAATGTTGTCTCCAAATATCACCCAAACAGTACTCTCTGCTCCTCGCACAACCTCCTGCTCTCTAGCTCCCTTGTCTCCTCCTCCCATGCTCGTCTCTAGGTCTTCTCCAGAGCTTCCCCATCCTCTGGAACTCTCTACCCCAATTTATCAGACTATCACCTACTCTTATCACTTTTAAGCGATCTCTTCAGGGAAGCCTATCCTGCCCTCAGCTAATAATGGAATCTTCTACTCCTCCTACCAGTCCATCCCTCACAGTTACTACCTTTTGTACCACTAACCCCTCCCTCTTAGATTGTAAGCTCCAAGGAGCAGGGCCCTCCTTTCCCTCTTGTATTGAATTGTATTGCTGCTGTATTGTCTCCCATTATATTGTAAAGCGCTCAGCAAACTGTTGGCACTATATAAATCCTGTATAATAATAATAATAATAATAATTATACCTAAATCAAGGACAGGCAGCAGAAGAACTGCCAGCATATTTGGTACATTGATAAGGACCAATACCCAACATGCAAGTGCTAAAAGTTATGGATTTAGTAGTCAGTAAAGATAAAAAGAAAGAAAAAAATAGTAGCGACAATAATAATCATGTTTTTTTTTAGATTATGTTACTCTATAACCCTAATACCAACTTCTTGAAAGTGGTTGTAAAGGCTCAAGGTTTTTTACCTTTATGATTTCTATGCAAGAAGGTAAAAACCTTTATGCAGCAGTGCCCCCAGCCCCCTCAATACTTACCTGAGCCCCATCAAGACTCAGCGATGTGCATGTCAGCCTCGGCTGTTCCGAGTCTCTGCCCCCTCATTAGCTGAGGCAGCAAGGGGGAGCCATCGGCTCCCGCTGCTGTCAATCACAGCAGTCAGCCAATGAGGAGAGAGAGGGAGCTGGGCCAAGCTTGGGTGCCCCCCAAGCAAGCTGCTTGCTGGGGGCACCCGACAGAAAGGAGGAGCCAGGAGAAGCCTATGAGGAACCCGAGAAGAGAGAGAAAGATAGAAAGGAGGAGCCAGGAGAGCCTGTGAGGGACCCGAGAAGAGAGAGAGACATACAGACAGAAAGAAGGAGCCAGGAGAGCCTGTGAGGGACCTGAGAAGAGGAGGATCCAGGCGGCTCTGTGCAAAACCACTGCACACAGCAGGTAAGTATAGACATGTTTACTATTTTACAAAAAAAAAAAAGAACCTTTAGTATTGCTTTAAAATGTGGCTTGTTTTGCAGAACTACAAATCTCAGCTGTCTTATCAGGTTTTAGCTGAAAAACACAGTGGGTTTTTTTACAGGCTGGAAGCCTGTTTATGAAGTTTTTTACAGTGCTAAGCTTAGGCCCATGCCCGGAGGACTCCCTGCATGACAGGTGGCTGAGCTTATCATCCTATATGAAAG